TATATTGTTATTAACCATTGAAATAATTTTATTTAAATATTATTAATTATTTTGTATATTTTATTTACAAGGATGTGCCAGAAAATTTTAATACAACAGAAAATTCAAACGTGAAAAAATCCAATGCAAAAGAAAACCTTAATGAAGCAGCAATTTCTAATGCTGAGGAAATTGATATATCATCTGAAACAGAAAGGGAACCACTATCTGAAATCCAAAATACAGTTCCTTCAAAACGTAAAAATGACTTACTTTTTAACAATAGTAAACTTAAATTTATTAAATGTAAAAACATTACTATTAATATCACAAAATAAATTATAGTTATTATATGTACTGGAAATGCATAAATAAATATATATGAATTGATCGTCTAGTAGGCATAAATCACTTGCATAACCACGTAAATGATGTCGATCAGGGGATAATACCTAATAATATCTGACAGTGCCCTTACTGAATTTAAACTTTATTATAAAATATAAACTATAAATTTCAAAATTTTAACTTTTTTCTTTTTAAAAATATTAAAATTTTAAAGTTAATTTCAAGATGAATTTTTTTTAAAAAAAAAATTAATTTTTGTAGAAACTCCAGCCTTACAAACCAATTTTGAAGTATAAGATAAATAAAATTAGTAAGTTCATCTAACTTTAAAGTTTTCTAGTTAAAAATAGATTTTTTTATTTTTTTTTTTATTTTTAATTTCTAAATGAAATAGTTTTAAACATTTCAAATTTTTTTTTTATTTAATTTTTATCAGAACATTAACTAATATTCCAATTTTTAATATTTTTTAATGTTTCATTTAATTTTTTTTACATTTTCAATTAAAACATTAACTAATATTCTGATTTTTAATTTTTTTTTTGTGAAACTATTACTTTAAAAAAAATAGTTTCTAATATTTTTTTATACTTCAGTTTTATAAAAATTCAATTTTAGTGTAAATATTTCAAGTAATGTTTTGAAATTTTTTTTGAAACTTTATAAAAAAAGCATTTTGTTATAAAAAATGTTTTTTTATTATAAGCTTTAAACAGTTCAATTCAGTTCCATTTTTTGATTTTTTTCTAATTGATTAAAATTTGTTTTGCATAATAACTTGCTATCTAGTGATCGTAAAAAGCCAATCAATAGCTCGTTGGAATTGTCTCATCAAAATGATTTGAATAATACTAAAATTATCTTTCTAGTATTGATAAATAGTGAGTTGATTTTGCCAAATTTCAAAAAATAATCTGTCATCTATCGATACTAGAAAGATGATTTTAGTACTATTTGAACCATCTTGATAAAACAATTCCAATGAGCTATTGATCAGCTTTCTATGATTACTGAACGGCGAGTTATTGTGCAAAATGGATTTTAATCAATTAAAAAAAAACTGAAAAATAGAACTGAACTGAACTGTTCAGAGCTTTATTAAGGATCCTGCTTACACTGGTCAAAAACTAGGCAAACATAGCTTGAGCTTGAATTTTATTAATTAATGCCGAAGTGACTTTAGAGAACACAGAGTGATCTATAAAGTACCGCAACAAGTGCAGAACTAATAGAAAACAAAGAACAAATAATCTTCCGAAATTACAAATAAAAAGAAAAGCTAAGATTATAAAACCCCACCCTCTCTATATAAATAACTACAGCTACTCCCCCCAAATCTATTTCAAAATGGGTAAAGTCGACTATGCTATACGTAACCCATCCAGCGCCGTACCCACTCCTAGAATCGGTAAAGAACCTCCGAGCTACCATTAGCACTATCAGAAATACATAAAATTCAATTTCCCCTATTTGACTACATACTATGGATAACAAACCTATTTCACAAAGACCTCCGGGAACTTTTTAGTGTCGTGCAGTCCAGCCGATGGGAAACTTTTTAGTGTCGTGCAATTCCCGAGAAGACACCCACCTCATTGCGAATGATCCCAAACGGAGGACACCCACCTCATTGCGAACGATCCATCGACCTAAGATCTACCTAGATAAGTCAATCCAATGATAGTCCAACATGTGACCACCATGATCGGCATACTACAAAAACTGCGATACCCAACCTGTCACCCCCCTTGTCACCCTAATGATGATCGATTTTGAAAATTGTAACACTAAGCCACCATGACGATCAAATTTTCCAGTATCCCCCCCACCCTCCAAAGAAAATAAGGTTACACCGAAAAAAGCGACCAAGAAAAACAAAAAGCAAAAAAATAAAGACATAAACCTCAGGAAAACTCGAAGTGCAATGAGAAAAATCTGAGTAAAATTCACCAAACATACACCTCAACTCCGTCTCCTTATTTTAGAAGACTAACTCCCCAGTTAACAATATCAACTAACAAGAAATACGTTAGTCAGGAGCTCCTTCCAAGAAATACCGGTCCGGCCTGCGAACCACTTGGCCAGTTAGACTTTAAAGGCGTAGGAACTAAGACGCACTACTTTTCAACCTTTCAGAAAGCCCAGGGGAACGTTCATATGGAACTGCCATCTTACAGTATTATTGGTAATTCCAAGACTCATGATAACGGTCCTAACTCAATATAAGCCATAAGGAGTTCGGGCGAAACTAAAGACCTCGGTAATAACTTCATATAACGTCGAAAAGTCCTTTTACTATCACTCAAGGCAAAAAATCCTCATATTTTTCATCCATAACTTCATGGGAAAAAATGGGCAGAACCCAACGGGGGAGAAAGTACGATCATCATTACTGGTCAAAAACTAATATATCGGGTAGCAGATATGTATCAGATATGTACCTGATATGTGTAGTATTAATGTTGAAAATTGGGTACCCGATATATGTAAGATATGTGTAAATATATATATCGTCTATATATCATTTACATATCATATACATATCGGTACCCGATATGTATATGATATATATATTTACACATATCTTACACATATCGGGT